GTGAGCACCGGCAACACCGGGGTGGGCCCCGCCGCCGGCCCGCTCCCACTGACTGTGCCCGCTGTTGCAGACGGAGGAGATGCGGCAGGCGCTGGAGGAGATGCGGGCGCTGTACGAGCGGAACCAGGCCGACGTGTGAGTTGGGCGTCCCGCACAGCACGGACGGTGCTCCCCGGCCCGCAGCTCTCCTCCTACTCCTCTTTCCCCTTCCCCTCATCCCCCAGGTCCGAAGCGAAGTCGGGACGGACGGACCTGATTTTCCTCATCCGGTTCCGGCACTGCTGCCTGCTCCGGAACCAGCGCTGCCTCCTGGCGTACCTGTGAGTGCGGGGGGCGCCGCCCTGGGCTCAGCCCTGCCGGCACACGGTCCCCAGGGACAGCGGGTTGGGACTCCCGGCCCGGGCAGGTGGCTTTTCCGCAGGCAGCTGTGGAGCTGCTTCTCCTTGTGTTCATTGCTGCTGTCACCACAAAGAGAGGGTTCTGCTTCCTCCTGCTCTTTAGAAGTTTAGATTGCTGGCTGTGGCTGTTGCCTGGGGATGTTGCCAGCGCTCACCTCTGCAGAGGCGGTGGGTTTGCCCCATTTGTTCCCCTAGGTATGACCGCTTGCTACGGATCCGAGCTCTGAGGTGGGAGTACGGCAGCGTTCTGCCCAACACCATCCAGTTCCACATGTCAGCTGAGGAAGTGAGTCAGCCCCGTTTCAAACTCTTCTCCTCTTTCCACGTATTCTGATCTGGAATCTCCTGCTGGATTATTTAGTACAATCAAAATAGGGTAGTCTTCCCCCCTCCTATAGGCATGACATACAACATATCTTAATGTGAATAGTTGTGTGTATTCATTGTCTGTGGGTACAACTGTGTTAATGCCCACAGGTGGAGTGGTTCAACCAGTACAAAAAGTCTCTGGCTACCTACATGAGGTCAGTAGGAGGAGAGGAGGGCCTGGACCTCACACAGGACATCAAACCTCCTAAAAGCCTGTACATTGAAGTAAGTGCAAGATCCTGGTTTCTGTCCATGAATAAACATTTTCCTGACTATCTCTTTCCGAGCATTTCATCCCCATCCCAAGTCAGTTCATCAAGAAAAACCTTTCAGAGTTCCAAAGCTTTCACAGGTTTCTGTGTTTTACTCTGCCTGCCAGCATTTTACTCCTACTGAGAGCACAAAGTATGTTGAGAGATGGCATTTCTAGTTTGTGCTGGGGTGAGTTACCCAGTAAGAGGTTTCTGCAGCTTTTTGCAGAAACTTAACTAACTACAGCAATCAGAAACCATGTTCCCATGCTAAGGACTGTTACCTGCAGGGGGTGGTTGTGTTTTTTCATTGGACTCTTCCAGAGCTGTGTTTCCACTTGGCAGGTACGGTGTTTAAAAGACCATGGGGAATTTGAGATCGAAGATGGCACTACCATCCTGTTGAAGAAGAACAGCCAGGTACCCGTGGCAGGGGTGTGGTCTGTTCTCTTCCATCCCTTTCACTCCCATGACATCCCCCTGCTCATGCTGGCCTTGCAGCGTGTCCCAGTCCCTGCACACACAGCTCCTTGCTGTCTGCATGGTCCAGAGTGCAGCTCTGCCTGATCTGGTACCATGAGGCGCTGGATGTGCAGCACAACAAACAGAGCTGGTTGTGGGCAGCAGCAAATCCAGCCAATTCAAGGAGGGTTTTTCTGTGTTTGTGTGCAGCACTTTTTACCCCGCTGGAAATGCGAGCAGTTGATCAGACAAGGAATCCTGGAGCACGTCCTGTCCTAAGGGTGCAGGACAGGAGGGACAGCTCTTGCTTGGAGGCCTGCCCACGACGGGGACTGAGCTCTGGTGTGTGCAGGACTTCAGACACCTCAGTGTTTCTGCAGTGGCATCCTGCCACTCCTCATAACAGCCTTTGAAGCCTCAAAACCACAGCTCTTCATGAGCAAAGGGTGCATGCTGGTAATGGAGCAATCCTGGCAATCCAGGATAGCAGGGGGGGCATTATCCAAGCCCCACACGTACAACCAAGGTTTGTGAATGCATTTTTGCTTAAGAGTAGTTCTTTGTTCACACAGTGTATGTGGAAGTAAGACACCGACTGGCTGGGCTCTGGAAGCCAGGAAAACTCCATAGTTGCAAAATAAAGAACTCCTTCAGCCTCAGTCTCTTGAGTTTTTAAGAGTTAATGTGATGTTCATTCAGCACTCTGATCTGCCTCTCCAGCCAAACCCATCCTGACCCTGCAGTGTGATGGTTATTTAAGTATCTCACTGGAATTGCTCTTCCAAGTGCCAGATAAGGCTGCACAAGGTTCTTTCCAGGATTAGACATGAAACTTAGTCCTCATCAGAGTCCCATAAATATTTCTTGACGTGCTGTGTGAATGATCATTGAAGTCTGGGTCATGGGCCTGGGTTTTTCCCAGTGTGCTTGGTCTGTGCCTCTGTTCCTCTGAAGAATCTCTTATCCCAGAGCAGTGTCTGGCAGGGCCTATGGGCTGTTTGGAGTTGGGGTGGGAAAGGGAGCAGAGGGTTTTAAGGATTCTGGTTAGCACAAAACCAGAACAAGGCTGAAGAGCTGCTTTCTCTGTCTGGTTTTGCTAATGGAGCTGCTCAGCTCTTGCACTTTGCCTGGGAAAGCACTCACAAAAACATTAGCCCTAGGTAAGACTAGAGGTTTGCTTAGCCCCCATCTCAGTCTGGAGCCGAAAAAGCAAACAGCTGGGGAAGAAGGCAGGAACAGGATAAATGCCTGGGGCATTACAGCATTGCTCTGTCCTGCTCACTGCAGAGGCAACAATCTGGTTGGTTTTGGATCCTAGGCTCAGGCTTTAGGAGGAGCTGTTGGGAATAAATGTTCAGCAGCAGTTGGGGAAGGTTACTGAAATACAGAGCAGACTGGGGATGGCAGGAGGTGCTGTAACATTACAAACATTTTAATGCCACAATTCAGCTCTCCTGCTTGGAGTGAGCCAGGCACAGGGGCCTGCAAGCCCTTCTGCCCTGGCTTTCAAGATGTAACTGTGGCTCCAACATCAGCTTTCTGCAGAGAGCAAGCACCTGCATCACCAGCAAACACTGCCAAAGAAAATCCTGTGAAATGGCTGCCCTGAGACAGGCATGACAAAACAGCACACTGCCACAGAAAGGCACCAAGGCTGCTGCTTTCAGTTGGAAAATTCAGCTATCCACGGGACCAATTTCCACAAAAAGGACTCTAGGCTCCCCATTTGCTATTTTCTGCACAGGAAAATCCTGGCAAGACCAGAAAGGACAAGGCTGATTTCCCAACCCATACCTCCCATTCTGCACCAGACCAGCCCCAGCCAGGACCACTGCACACATCCCATCACCCACTCAGAGATGCTGGTGTGATTTTTCCAATAAGCTGCTTCAGAGCTGAGGCTTGTTCCTCCAACAGCTGGTTCTTCTCCTCCATGCTCTTCTGCTTCAGCTCAGCAGCCTGTAGGGCCATTGCAAACCTCCTGTTCTCTCCATGGAGCTCTTCAATCAATAGTCTGTTCCTGGAGATTTGGGCCTAAAGCAGGGACAGGAGGCTTCAGGTTCAGCATCCCATGCAGGGGTACCAGATGGGCAGGGAGACACAACACCAGCCCTTCTTGCACTCACCTGGGCATCTCTGAGCTGAGCTGCCCTCTCTGCCAGCACAGCTTCAGCATTCCTCAGACTCTGTTCCAGCCCCTCTGCCTGCTCCACAGCTGCCTGCAGCAGCTGCTCGTGTTCCTCCTGCAGTGGACAAGAAAGCCTGTCTTTAGGGTTTCCCAGCACTCTCCTGGCTTCTGGCAACCCTGGACTGTACATTTCCCCAAGGCCCTTTTTCATGGGCCCTCACACTCCTTGAGGCAGAGCAGGGGGGACTCATCAGAGGTGCAGATACAAAGAGCAGTGGGACAGATGTCTAGAGCAGTACAACCTTCCCTAGGTCTACACCCAGTTTTAAGACAAGGCACAGAATTTCCAGCAATGTTTTCTATAAAAGTAAGCCATCGGCCTCCCCTCTCCCAGCCATGTCCAGGAAAGCTCAGGGAGAGACAAAGTCTCCTTGGATTCAGTCCTTGTGCCTGCTCATTATAATTCTTTAGGTTATAATTTTCCCAGTCTCTGCCCAGAAGACAAACTCACAAAAACTCAAGACCTGGTTGCTCAGTGCCCTAGAGATAAATCCACCTCTTTGAGTGCAGGGTGGTGACTGGAGGATTCATGAAGAATTCAAAGTTGCAGCTGAATTTGAAGGTAGGTGCATTTTCCATGTGGGTTCTTTATATCTAGCATCTTCTACCCAAACCTCTGGTGGCTTCAATCACAGCTGCCTTCCAGGTTGCCAGGCCAGCAGTGTTCCCTTCACAGTACCCTTGACAGAGCTCCTGCAATTCCCTGCTTACCTGGGTCCTGACCAGCTGCCTGCACATTTGCTCAGCCTGCTGCTGGAGGCTTTCCTGGAGCTGCTGAGTCTTGCACTGTTCCTCTCTCAAGGTGTTTTGCAGCTGCTCAAACTGCTTCTTCGGCACCATGTTGTTTATCTGGGCCTTGGCCTGCTGCAACTGCAGAGCGTGCTGGGCCTGGGCCAGGCTCAGGCTTGCTTTGGCTTCCAAAAGCTGTAACAGAAAGGTTGGCAGCTGGTTACAGCTTTGAGCCAACAACGGGGCAGACCCAGGCTGTGTTTTGGGGGAGAGGAGAGGTTAGATAATGCCCTCAGCTCTCCCCCCAGCATGGGCACAGCAGAGCTGCAGGACCATGGGAGTGGTGCTCACTGGGCAGCCTGCAAAGCAAGGAATTGAGAGCTGCAGGAGGAGAAACAGAGCCCCTTTGCTGAGAGATGCTCCCCTTGCTCAGCAGTGAGGAGCAGGAGTTGCTGGAGGGATTCTCTGGCTGGAAATCCCAGCACCAAGTGCCACGAGAGCAAGAGATTGAGGGGCTGCTCACCTGGGTTCTTGGATACATCCCAGGCTAGCTGTGATGTACTAAATGTCCTGTACTACATGTCCTCTGCTTCCTGTCTCCAGCAAAGGGCAAACCTGGTACTGGGAAGCAGGTCTGGCCCAACTTTGCACTAGGGAATGGCTGGCATGGGTAAACTGTACTTTAGAAAGCCAGTCCCCAGGGTAGAATGCAGGAGAGGGATATTAACACATTGGAAGATTTCTCACATTGGCTTTCCTCTCTGTCCTAGTGATCCAAGTTACTCTGCTCTGACCACCTCATTTCCCATCCCTCAACAAGCCTTGTCTGGCTGCTGTCATCCCAACCCCTTATCCAGTTCTACCACTCTTCCAGCTCCTCTGTCAGCTGAGCCATGGGGACCCACAGCTCCTGACACCCCTGTGTGAGCCACCTCCACTCAGCCTCCACCCCCTCTGCCCAGCCAGCCTGCACAGGACAAGGATAGAGGGAATAGTACAGGGGCAGCTGCAAGCAAGGACCTGTTCCCATCTGCACCTGAACTGGCTTCAGCTGTATCTTGAGCAGGAGGGAGAATCCTTTCTCCCCACAAAGAGGAAGAAGACAACTTTTTTCTGACTGGAGAGGGTGTCCAGGCAGGACAATACCAACATCAGAGACCACTCAGCAGCCTGCCACCGAATGAAGGACACTCACCTTTTCCTGTGAGGCCTGGAGCTGCTGTTGGAGCAGCTCCATCTCCATCCAACATGCTGCATGCCTCTGGTGGTGCTCCAGCCTTGCAGCAATCTCTGCTCCTCCAAGCCACTCAGCCTCCAGAAGCCTCTGGCTCTGCAGCTGGGCAGTGCCAGGGCCATCACTGTGACCAGCCTTGTGCTCAGGGGGTTCACAGCCCAGCTGATGCCTCTTGACATTGGGGTGAGAGAGCTCCTCCTTGCCTTTCTCACCCTGGAAAAGGTTGAGGGGAAAAAAAAAAAACCAACAAATCATGCACAAGTGGCTTGGAGTGGGAACACATGCAACAAAGACTGACTGGGCCATGTGGGTTTGAGACTGGGAGTGAGAGAAATCTCAGGGAGAAAGAGTGAAAGTAGTAAAAACCATTAAAGACTTTCCCCTTCTGTAAGACTCTCAGTGGCTTTTGTCACGCAAGTTCTCACTGCTTTACAAGTTATAAGATGAAGCTGGTCCCTCAAAGCAAGACTGGGTTTGAATGTTCAAAACTAACATTTTTGTTCTCTCTGAATAAGTGCAGTTTTTGTCCTTTTAAATCCTTGAGCCAAGAGCCTGGCAGTTGGGGTTAGTGGCTTCTTACCAATGCTGTTAACTCTGCTATTTCAGCCAGCTCCTCCACCTTCTCTCTACCCAACTCACTCCTGTTTTTCCTGCTGGGAAGAGGGATAGGATCAGCTTCAAGACAAGAGAGCAGCAAAGCACAGCCCCACAGAGGAGAGCCCTGTTTTGGGTAGTCCCACATCTGGTTTTGGCCCGCAACAGGAAGCAAAGCCAAGCCAAAACAGATATGGCCCTGAATTGATTCAGGAGTGAGTCGGGTGTCTGCCCCAGCAGGTGACTCAGGCCAGCCCAGGGCAGACAGCCTGGGGACATCCAAAGTCCTGCAACGCTGTCAGAGGCCTAAAAATCAAGGGATGAAGAACAATGGGAGGGACATCTTAGCAGATTGGGATCATCCACACCTAAAACTCATCTCTCCCCAGATTTATGGCTCAGTGGGTGACCCTAGCACCTACCTAAAGCTTCCTAAGGAAGAAATCCATCCCGTGTTAACTCTTCAGCAAGCTGTTCTCCAGCAGCCAGCACAGGGAGACAGCAGAGTGAGAAAACCATGCACATCCCCTGTTTACTCTGACATTCTGAGCTGGATCCCTGACCTTTTCCAATCTGGTTCCCAAAGAGAGCAAAGACTAAAAACTGAGAAAAACCCTTCCCATGACTTGGGCAAAACATGTGGGAACAATCAAGAGACAACACTAGAAAAGGAGCAGGTCTTCAAGGGAAGGAAAATAAAGGGGAATAAGGACAAAGAGCATCAGACTGAATTTATGTGGCTTCCAGGTGGCTAAAATTATTTTGCAGTCCTGTGGATACAAAGTGATTTGATTCATCAAAACACACCAAGACTTCATTACAGGCTAACAGGTGGTGAGGCCAACCCCTCAACTGCAATAAAGCCAGATCTGGTAAAACCAGCTTGTTTGTGAGACCTCTGTGATTTTACAGTGCTGGACACAACAGCTGTGACCCCAAATCTGAGGTGGTCTCATTATCCTTCCACTTCTCTTGGTACTGCCAGTCTCCCAGGAGGCCATGAACACCGGCACTTGTGGGAATGAAGCTTAGTCCTGTGTTAGACAGTCCTATCCTATAACTGCTGCTAAACACCAGAGCCTTATAGGACCCAAATTCCTCAAGGGAAGGTGCAGGATAACAGACCATCCATCCTGGCAGGGAGGACAGTATTGCAGTCTGTGTGCCTGTGGCACACAAAGGAGCTGTGTGAGGAAGTTCTTCCTCTCTTATTGAAGCACAAGGACAGTCCATGGGCTGTGTGGTGTTTGCTCACCTCAGTGCAGCTGCTTTCCAAGTTTTACAAGCTGCTTTTCCAAGGAAGCTGTGCTTCCTGTGGCATCTCCAAGGTCCATGTACAAGGCAGAGGAGATAAATGGGTAGTCAGCCACAACCACAGGAGCACATCCCAGCTCCCAGACCACGCTCCCAGTCAATAAATACACAACATAGCTTTTGCATTTATCTACATGTGCTCAGTAATATTTATTAATTGGAAGTATCCTAGTTCATTGCCCATTTCATGTGAGCAGCGGAACAAAGCTGCTGTTAGAACATCCAAGAGAACATAGCTGCTGTTACAGCGCTCATCAGCCTTGTGTCTCACAAGGCATCTGCTTTTTGTTTGCAGTAGCATGTTAGTTCTTCAAATTACCTTTGCACTCAAACCTGACATTCTCTTGAGCTCTGGGTTCATTTTCCAACTACTGCATGACATCTTTGAGCTGCATCAGCTCCTGTGTCAACCTGTTCCTCTTCAGCTCTGTTTTGACAGCCTGAATGTCAGGTTTCCCCCTATGCTGTTACACCACTCTGTCTCCCAGAGCTTTTTGCCTTCTCTTCTTGCCCTGCAGGTCAGGTCTGTGTCCTGAGATGTCTGCTCTTTGGAGGCATGTAACTGTGCTGTCTCTGCCTCCCTTCCCAAGAACATCCCCTTGTCTATCAAGATTCCATTTCTCCCTGAAACGCTTTCCCTTCTGCTCCAGCTTGTAGATTGACAGGCCATTTGTTACGTCTGCACTGCCTGCACTGGTGTGTCCTTCCTTCAGTGTTGAAGTGGCAACAGAATATTTTGGTCCACCTGCTCATCTGAGTCTTAGGGGATCAGCTCCTTTTCCCCCAGAGGACAGCTCTCCAGACACCTTGTCCCTTTTAACACCAGAGCCCGCAGCTTCACTGTCTCTGCATTACTCCCATTTCAGCCTGCTGCCTTTTTAATCTTTTTATACCCAACAGCCAGCATTTCACGTGGCTTGGCTTATTCATCATTTAACCTTTTCTTACAACTTGAGCTGCCTCTGCTTCCACAGAGACTTGTCTTTTTTCTTCTGTTTCCACTACTGTTTCTCATGGGTGCCCTACTCTTGTAGGCCTCACCTTGGAGCCTTTATTGTTGGGAAATCACCTCCTCTCACACCAATGTTCCTCCAATAAAGCCTCACAG